CCCTTCAGCACCACGGCGGCGGCCGAGCACCGGCACCCGCGGCGGGGGGGGCTCCCTCCAACCGGGAAGAACGGAGCCTTGAACCGGTCGGACGGGAAAGTACCGGGCAGGGCAGTGAGGAAACTTCCCGGTCTCCTGCAGGGTGTTAGTTCCCAGCCCTCACATCCCAGCGCCCTGGAGCCGGGAGCCGCCGAGCGCCGCGACCGGGATGGGCTCCTTCTGCCGCGGCGGAGGGGAAGGAAAAGAAGAAAATGCCAGAAAATGCCCTTCTGTCGTTTTAGGTTTCATATGACTTTTGCGCTGGAAAACAAATTAACCTAAGAGGATTTGCTGAATCTGAGCTGGGAACAAAAGACAAGGTGAAAGTGTCTGAATTTTGAAAACGTGCCAAAGTCCAAAACCAGTAAATCCTTTTCCTGAACGTTGTCTTCCTAAGACCTTTCAGAAGCACTAAAAGAAAAGGTGGGGTTTTCCCCTGAGTTCATTATCTAAGAACTATTAGCAATAAATATTAATTGTGCTTTTTCCTCTTCTCAAAACATGTTTCTGTACATAGAATTATGGCAGAAGAAAACTAAGCAGCCATGTTATCTGTGGATCCGATCCGGCCATTTAGATACAACTATCATTCGGGTTAACGAAGGTTAGAACTTCATTTGTCTAAGACATAAATATCTGCCATTCTCTTGAACATTAGTAATTTCATTTTTGGCTGAGACTGTCTCACACTCCAGTGTTGCAAAATAATCTGCCTAGTAACTAAATAAACTTAGTTCATTGCATACTTGTTCATTGCTTCACGTTGCGTCTGGAGGGAGGAAACCACTGTCTCTAGAATTGAGCAAATACCTGGGAATTTAATAGCCTCCTGTGACACCCAGAATATTTGGTACGCTTATTTTCAGGTGAGAATTTTTCCATCAAAGACAGAGAAATACAATTTTCTGTGCAAAATTAGAACCTCCACAGTATCCCAGTTTTCTTGTTATATATTTAAAACATAATTCGTAACTGGCCAGAAGACACATTGAAAAGAAAGGCTTCTGCTTCTACTGAGAGGGGAGATTTCTAAGCACCGGTGGAAAAGTTTACTTAGAGGACTGGATTTCTCTTCCTCCAATAGAGCTTGTCATTTACATTTGGCAACTTTCATGCCTTTGTGCTGAACAAAGCAAAGAATTGTGCAGAGCAGATTAAGAATGAAAAAAAAAAGGGCTGGGAAACAGGAGTAGGAAAATATTCTTGTCAGACAACCCACTCTCACATCAGGTACACATACAAACAGCGTTTGGGATAAAACCATCCAATCTTCCTGTACATTAAAAAGCAAAATTGTGATGCCCTGTAACGTACGGTTCTGCGGAGCAGGGACTGCTCCAGTCCTGTATGTTCTGTAAATTGCAGGGACTTTCCAAGGCCTGTGAAATAATCTTATCTGCAGCCCCTGCTTCGTATGTTATTTATTTTGTGTTTCAAAATACAAGAATAATATAATGCTTTGTTGGCTTAGTGGTGCAGTTTGATTTTGGTTATCAAATGAAGCACAGAACAAGCCTAAGGTGCCCTTACTGAATGCTTGCTCCCTGTGTTTGAAGCAGAACCACTATCTTCTGACCAGGCGTTATCAATCCCAGCCTGTGTGCTGGCTTCCAAGCGCTATAAAAAGCAAACAGATCCAGTTCAGATTGCAGAACCTCCCCGTCCTTCCCCAGCATTTCTTACTTTTCCTGCTTTCCATCACCTCAGAGTTTTCTGAGGTGCTTCATCCTTCTTAAAAGGTTTATTTTGCAGAGCTCAGAGATCCTGCGCAGCTCTGACAGCACAGCAAGAACCGAATTGCCAGCAGAGGGGGAGAGTTAGAGACACTGTGATTTGATCTAACATCCACTGAAGTCAGAGGAAGTATTCTCACTGACCTTGTCAACAAAAAAAAAGGAAAAACCTTCCACTAGACATGTTTGTGTGATATTTTCTCCAATTCAGCTTTTCTAGGTCCTATCCATAACACCAGTTTTCCTTCCCGTTTATAGTAAAGAGTGCTCATCACTTTTTCTGTGCAACAAAAAAAAAAAAGCTCTGGAAAATGCAAGGCCACATATGGTCTCACAAATAGTGATTAAGATGAAAAAAAATCCTCCTTGACCAGAATGAAAAGGCACTGAGCAGCTTTAAGCAGAGAACGCCGTATGCCAACCCCGCATGCCACTAATAAATCTGTATTTGATCGTGCCCTGTAAGTCCTTAAGCACATTGTAGAAATGGGGCAAATCCTCTTTTGGAATTTACTGACTTAAAAAACCGAAAAGCAACATAATTCCATTTATTTTAACATCATTAGATTCTGAAAAAGAAACCCTGATCACATCATGGGATGGTGTTATCGTTATTTCTGTGATTACTGCTGCATTTTAACGCTCAGCACCACAAATTGCTGCCAGACAGCTGAGTGTTTTGCTGTGGAGTTCTGCAGGAGACGAGGAGCACGTTGGAGTGAGGCACAAAAAGCAGTTTCTGCTTTACACTATTTTCCCCCCAAAAGCCTAATCTCTTTATTTGTCAGAAGAATGCCATTGGGCCTGGATGGGGGAGTAGTGCTGGAAAATGATGCTTTTCTGCTTTCTGTTCGTATGTCTCTGAAGCACAAGGTGGTATCCTATGTATCCTATCCTTTAGGATCACCAGAATGTTTGCTTTCCCCAAGAGGCATAGCGTCCTTTAAATCCTATGAGAATTCCAGTTCTCACTGGTCCATTGGCTCCTTGGCTCCAAGTCAAGCCCTTCATCTTCAAAGCGCTCCATCCCCTTTTGATGCCAGCGTCTTTATTTGCATTTCGTAGCACCCAGAACAAGCCAGGCAAATACGCTGAAAGTCCAACACAGGCTTTGTAGAATTGCCAGATTGGAAAAAAAAAAAGGCTCAGGAAATGGAGAAATCCATGGACCCTTAACAAACATTAAACTCCTGACAAGAAAAAAAAAAGGCGGCAAATGCATCCTCTGCTGACCTGGGTCACCTTTGAACAGACACAAGGGCCTTCACCAACTTGCCAATTCTCCCATTCTTTTAGACAATGGGTTTGTGTTTTGTTGTGTTTTCTTCGCTTGTTTATCTCTTAATCTTTCAGTAAATTGCAAAGTCTGAATTTGGCCATTTAGAGAAACAGGCTCAAAGCTTTACAGCTGAACTTCCCACTTACTGCACAACCACGGTGTCAGTCTCCCGAAATTCATGCAACTCCTCATTTACTTTTTCTCTCTTATGATTCAGATTTTCAGCGTCACTTGGGCCTGTATTCTGACATCCTTCCAACACACACTAATTTATTCCACCGATTTACTCCACCAATACTCTCCTTCATTTCAGTGGGAGTAAAGTGACAGAATCTAGCTATATGTGGTAGATGTTTTGGAAGTATCTGTTAGCCATATTATCATCCCGGCATCATCCCTTGTTTATGGTGCCAGTGATCCTTAGGGCTAAACAAACAGCTGGATCTGATCAAAACATGGAATAGCGGAGTCTTTCTCCTGATCTAGTAGGCTTACAGGAATCAGAGATGTTTGAACTACTCCCAAACAGCTATTTATAGCTTCTTTTCAGGAACTATGAAGATGGTGTGTCCTCACAGCACTTAGTGATCATGCCACTTCCACATTTCATTACATGTCTGCAAACCTTTGCTCACAGATTCCTAAGTATTTACAGGCCAAATGCTTTGATTGCCAATATAGCTTAAAGACAATGTAAAAGAACTGTTTTACTCTGAGGGCAGCACATACCCTCAGAGTTGCAAATACTGCTGTAATGCAAATCAAAGTGCAAACAGTGGAGCTGCAATGCCTTCAGAAATCTCCTCTCCAGCAGCACTCAGTAGTTTTGGGCAGGCTCATCCTCACAAGGCAGCAACAGCACAAGTGCAGAGAGGAGGTGGCACCTGGGACTTACAGAACATGCTGGGGCTGAGCTGGTGTCTGCTCAGATGGAGATCACACCCGACTGACAGCATTTCCTTCTGAAGGAAAGGGTATTCTGAGCAGCTGGAAACAGGAATAATTTGATGCTCCTTTTTCTGAAGTTTGTAAATCCTGTTTCTATTAAATTGTTACTGTTTCTAAAAACGTGTAATATATATCTAATATGTAATTACACAATACAATGAACTGCTAGTTTTTGAATGTCTTCATGTACCTGTTTTAATTTCCACTCTTGATCTTCACTCAAATTTCCTTCCTTGCCTTACTTTGGCTAAAGTTCAATTATATTATTTTCCATATAAATTTATGTCACAGCAAATAAAAAAAAAAAAGATTTGAACAAGTGAGTCCTTCCCCCTGCCAGCACACAGCATACACAGGTATTTAACATTCTTTTAAAACAAGTATTCACACCATATTGAGATAGTAACCAGAACAATTGAGACAAGTGTTCCAGTCAGTTCTGTACGGTGCTGATGGGTGCCTGTCTCACCAAGAAGCTTTCTTCTAAAATCCACGGTTTAAGCAAGAACAGAGAAACAAAAAAGTCAAGGGTTCAGCATGAATGCAAAACAAACAGCACAGCTTGTTAGCGTGAGCTTAGTGAAAGGACTGATGTAAATTCAGATCTTCATAGAGCAGGCATGCCTCTCCGCAGGGAGAAGAGACAGACCTTCTCAGACTTGAGCAGTACACAAAACAATTAAGAGGAAAACAACAGTTAGAAAGGTAAGGCTACTGGTGTGAAGAGCGATGGAAAGCAGTGTGTGCATACCAGCCTGTATGTGAATGTCTGAATACACTCACCATATACACTTATACTATGTAAATAGATACTTTTTTTCAGTTTGTGTCCAATTAGGATGAAATTAACTGGATCTATCTAGTGAATTAGTTTAAAAAAGACACAATTAAACAATGCTTGACATTGACAGGTTGTTCTGCCCTGACAGAAATGCACAACACAGAAATGTGCAACCGCTTTTCCACATACAGGTATGGAAACAACACAAAAGCTCCTTTACCTTTGCTCATGCCTCCATGAGGAAGTTATTTCAAGGGTCCTTTGTTTCCTGTGTGCCAGCAGCTCTGCAACTGTGAAGAAAAACAGGGGTTGGGTTAATAATAAAGAAAGGTACAAGCCCTAGACTCCAAAGACTCAAGTTAAATATTTACTCCAGTTTGTTCTTGTGAGCAAACTCAGAGGGTCTGCTTTGCTGACTGCTGGCATCTTGAGAAACAGGGACAGCCAGGATCTGCTGGCCCAGCTACCTCCCCGTCTGCAGCCCGGACACACACAGCACAAACCTGAAGTCACCTGCACACATCTAGGCTAGGATTTAAAAAACAAGCAGGAGGAAATTCTCCCATGTAAGAAAAGCCCTTCAGAATTCAAATGGTACTTCAAATATTTACACATGGGATTGGATTTGGAATCACCCACTCATATACCCGTTTAGAATACACAGGTTCAAGTTTATACTTACATTCTATGTTATTTATTCAGCTTTCTTTTTTTTTTTACAGAAAGTCTTTTGTTTCTGTATTAGCACGAGGCTAAGGTAAAGACTTCCAGTCTACACAAGAAGAGCAATCTCCTTTTCTCTGGGAGGCAGCACTACGTGTCCGTGCCTGTAGGCAGATACCTGGGAAAAGGTGAGGGTGGAGCGCAGCCTCCATCCCTGCTTCGGGACCTTCCAGAAAGTCTATTACCTACTGCTTTTCACTTTTCACAACATTACGTTCAGGCTGTTCGTTTAGGCACTTGAAGATTAATGTAGGCACTTAAAGATCATTTTAAGCTGCCTGAATTTCTAGGTATGGTCCCGTACCATGCGAGGTGAGGAGCAGACCAGACCTCACTGGGACCCTCTCCATATCTGAGCCCTGTCTATGAAATGAACCTTTACAAAACCCAACCAACAGCAAACCATAGGATCTAAACAGAGGAATGATTTGGTGCAAGGTGGGATGAGGTTTCTCCAGCTCATGCAGGCAGCCATCAACGGGAGACAGTCACGCTAAATGACGTTAATCTGGGTTTTGCTGAATCAGTCCCACACTATCCCATGTTTGGATACAAGAAGGCAGGCTCGTTTCTTTTAATGACAGCTCTGCTCTCCAGAACTGCGCTCCAGTAGCTGAGGTCCCAGGCTGTGACTCGGGAGAGAGGAGTGTAATTCCCAGCCCGAGTGCTGAGCAGCTCCACAACGCAGGGCAAAATGCCCTCTGTCTGTCTGCTCTATTTAGACTACGGGCTCTTTGAGGTAAGACCAGTCTCTGACTGGATATTTGTACAGCACCTAATACAATGGAAATCCAGTCTCGGTTTGGTAGTTCTGTAATACAAATTAATAACAATAACTAGACTTGACTGCTTGACAAAAAGCAAATAGTTTGGAAAAAGCTGTCTTAAATCTTTCTATCCCACTTCCCCAGACCAAAAAAAATCTACAAATGTTATTTCTTTTGGCAGCTGAAACCTAATCCTACCTTGGTTAGCATAACAGAGAGAACAGGAAGCGCTGGGAAGGAATTTTTCATTCCCTGGGACGTCTTTGATCCCCCTCCCCTCCCTTTTCCTATCAGGTAATTTTCAAATCTTGATGTTTCCAGTTAGTCTAGGTATCTTCTTGTTTTGTCTACTTCGGTCAAGCGTTATTTAAGTTCCATTTCATGGATGAAAAACTGGTCTGGGTTTAGACTTTGCTGTTGTGTAAGCCGGAACCTGAGAACTTCAGAATCCCAAAAGGGAATAAAGCTAAAATTCACAGCCCTTGCCGGTGGAAAACCAATCATTACTTTGCTTTAACACAGACAAGGTGCATTCATACATTACATAAACGCTAAACAAATCATTTAATCATTTTCTGTTGCAGCCACCACTTTTTGTCACTTAGAGTTAGTGTCTCAGTTCAAATTTCCAACATATGGAGGAAATTTTTTCACCATTATACATCTTGATTTATGCTCATCTAAAATGTGCAAAGCTCAAAACAAATTAATGTCTGTTTAATATTTGGGGTTCTGAAGGAATGTGTTGACCCTTATTTCAGTCCCACATGGAACGCAAGACTGCATCTCATGTGGGCAAGCTTTTGACAATAAAACAAGTAATAATTAAAATATGCATGACCCTCAAAGGGCTTAATTACCACACACTGCTGAGTGCAGCCTCATGCTTGTAGCAAAGACAAGTCTGTAGCACTACAAAGCAGGAGATGACAATACACGCAAGATAAAAATGAAAACAAGATCATCTTGGAGTAGATAATACAACATCCCCTTTGCCTGCAGACGAATGTTCCCCTCACACAAGCTGGAGCTCCAGCAGCATGTGCACAGCACACCACTTGGAACTGAAGCAGCTGCACATGTCCTGTCTTTTGTGCCTCTGCTCTTCCTGCTTTGAACCAATCGCTGATGACTGTAACATGCTGCATTTCTTTTTAGCCTTGAACTGTTCACATGCTCCTTCCTTTCCTACTTACTGTCTTCTTTCCTTCAGCTGCCACTGCCACCATTTGTACCTTCAGGTTACTAGTAAAAAGTTCCGTACAAGTCAAGGAACTTTGACTTCTAAGTCAAGGGCAAGTTAATAGCCCGCTGTAAAAATTAGTCTGACTGCTCAAACACTTTAGAGTTCTCCTGGTCAAACACTCGGCAGCAGCAGTGACAGGGTTATGCTAATGGCACCCATAACACAGCATCTCTCGTCCATCAGGTGGACCTTTTCATCTGTTGTCTACTTCAAGATAGGCTCAAAAAATATGTTCCCTAGGAGGGATTTAGCTCTTGATAAACAAAGTGTCTTAACAGTCCCACAACTCCATGTTTTCCATCCTGTAGTAAGAATACTTAGTCCCATTGTACAGATAGCAAACTGGGGTGCAGAGACAAGAAGTGACTTCAATCAGTATAATTCTACTTCACACACACAAAAATAAAATCAAGCAAAATACAATCCAACAGGGAAATTCAAATTAACTTATTTTTTTTTTATTCACATATACACAAATCTCGGTTTCAGGAGACTGCTATTGTGAGAGTCCTCAATAGAATAGCAAGAGATGTATCCATAAATCCTCGTACCCAGTGCCATACTACATAAGGCCCTATTATATCTTTTTTTTTACTAGACCATAATATACATAACATTTACTACTAACTATTGTGCATGCTTCCAATTTTCTGACAGAATAACTAACAGTAATTCTCCTTGTTAATAATGCAGAAACATTGCTTGCACTGGTAAATAATCCATGATAACCAACAGTGGCTTTGTCACTGATTCCCTTATTTGCAAAGCTGTCTATAATTGGAAGCTGCTGGAAGAGATACCAACTTGCTCACATGATTATTACTACTGACTGCAGCACTGTTAAGCCTCAAAGATGCCAACAGAACTGCAGATAGACTCAAGCCTTTTGTGCCTCTCTTTTACCCCCCTCCTTTTTCTTCTTTACCCAGAGATGGCCAACATTGCTCCTGCCTTCTCTCCTTGGAGAAAAGTTACAATAAAAGCTACAGAAGTGACTGGAAGGCAGAGTAAATATATAATTTTCCTCCTCTTTATGGCCTGAACTTGTGAAAATCCAGGAACATTTTTATTATTCCATGTTATAATACCCTGCACATGGAGGTATATTCTAGGCCATTATTGATTTCACTGGTCCTGAAACAAGGACATTGCTCAGAGCTCCATTTACAAATGTATATACCACTGTTCTGCACTCTTGCTTCCAGCTATTTATAACTCCCCAGTGCCTTGGAGCAAACTGCTGGGGAACGAGTTAGGGACTCAATGGCGCTCTTAGGACTCAATGGCACTACGCTTTTCTTTTCCATTTTTTCCCTTTTAAAAATGAATTCTTTTCAGCATTAGCAGAGTAAGACAGGCAAACAAAGCGTGCACAGAATGAGACAGTGCAAAGGCAGTCAATAACACCAGCCTGACGGTGCTTGTTTGTCATCTCCCAAGTACAGATGCTGTGGAGAGGCATGGCCTAAATAGCAGTGTGTGCCTGGAGGAGCAATGAGCACTGACTATGCACCAACCTTTAAGTGTGTGTAATGGGCTGTGCCTGGCAATGACCCACCTTTTTTTTCGAACCCTTCAGGGATGGTGGTTGCTAAAGGGACTTATACAGGCTGGAACTGCTCTTAACTTTATGTGGGTGACTGCCTCATCAACCTGTGCCAGCACCAAGGGCACATTAGGTTCCTTCCTACTTATCTAGCAGAAGGACGGAAGAAGAAATTATAGACTGCAACTTCCATAGTGGCAGGATGTAACAAGAGAAGGATGGACTTATCTCGCTGCAAACAGAGGAAATTAAATGGAGAAGCATGCCCTTTTTTATTTTTCATATTAAACAGTTCATTTGCAAGCATCTTAGAAACATTTGCTCCCATCTCACAGACCTCTCCTTGGACTTTCAAGGCTGTGAGAGCATGTTTTTACTATTTTTAAGTGAAGTAATAAGCCTAGAAAATATAATTACTTCCTTTGCTTTGCAGCATTTCTAGGATAAAATAGCAGAGCCTTCTGATGCACAGTACCACTCTCCTGCAGGTCCCAGAAAGGGAGGGGGTCAGAAAGATGTAGCATGTTTTTACTATTTTTAAGTGAAGTAATAAGCCTAGAAAATATAATTACTTCCTTTGCTTTGCAGCATTTCTAGGATAAAATAGCAGAGCCTTCTGATGCACAGTACCACTCTCCTGCAGGTCCCAGTGTTTCGTGGGAGCTTACACATACCCTTCTGTGCATATATGTTTCAGGGCCAGTATTCCTCTCCCCTCAACTGGCAGGTATCTGAACTGGAAATCTGGGTGCTCTTAAAGGGGCAGCACTGCTGTGATAGGAACCCTGGCAAACAAGCAAAAAAAAATACAATAAATAAAACACCAGAAGGAGAAATGTAATTGTTCTCAGTGAATGATTTCTGAAAGGGACCCAGACCCCTTTAGGCTAAGTGAGCCCTGGAACAGCTTGCCCATGGACACAGGCTTTAGCAGCGGATGCTTTTCCAGTGCAGAACAGTGGTGTATATGTTTTGTAAATGGAGCTCTGAGCAATGCCCTTGTTTCAGGACCAGTGAAGTCAATAATGGCCAAGAGTCTACCTCCATGTGCAGGTTATTACAACATGGAATAATAATAAAAATCCTCTTTTCCAGTGGTGTCCCTCAGGAAGGCCTCAGACCCTGCTGAGCACCCTCGGGGGTCACGGGAGGGATGCAGTTATTTCCCATTTACACCTTTT